CCCCCTCGAGTTGAAGGTGGGAACACTTCAACTTGCAACTGAATAAAATCCTTGTTGACTACATTGTGTATGTAAACGAAGACCATGTTGACCATGCATAAACAACAAGCTTTTCTATGAGGTTTGCGGCATTTTGTATTTGATGTTACACCTCCAATGATGACAAGGCATTTACTTGCTCAGTTGTTCTAATTTGACCTTGTGTTCTGCTCAGCATGTCATAACCACCTTGATTTTTATAGGCAGCCAGAATGTCATCAATGATTTCAAGTGTTTTCTGTGTAAATAAACCTGCTTATTGTATGTCCACCAGAGGGATCTGTAGCAGCAATTGCATCTCCAAATACCACACGGACAGTAGTACCCTGGAGCAAGATCGGGCTTGTATTGAGATCGAAGCTTTTGGAGATTAGAGAGTTCTCTTGGTAATCCAAAATCTAAACCCATTCTCTTCTACCGTCTTCACCTTTCTTCCGCCACGAAGAACTCGTCTGACTTGGGACCCCAAGAAATCCAAAGGCCTTGGTTCTGAAATTGAGAGGCACAACTCTCTGTTGAATGAGAAAAAATAATGCTTTTGATTGTAGATAGCATCATTCCCAGGATTAGAGATGAAACTTGAAGACGAGAGGTGATAAAAAGCAGCAATGTGCCAGTGATGGCTGCCATGGTTCTCTAGAATGAACAGAAAAATGAACCATACACAAGTGATGATGAAGATGAGACGACATAGTAATTGATGAATTCAAACGAAAACATCAAATGATGAAACAAAATCAATTGACAAAACCAATTGATGAAATCAACCGAAAACAAGATGATGAAGAAAGTGAAACTCGATCAAAACGATATGAGTGAAACTCAATTAAACCAATTGAGTGAAATTGAACAATGATGAAACTTCTGAATTACAGAAGTGAAAGAAAATGATTGAAACTGAACATTCCAATGATGAGAATGAAAATGAAGGTGAGATTATGTGAGAGATAAATTGAAGATAGGGAGTCGGTGTTATAGCAACCGTGCTCCGATACCATGTTGGAATAAAGTGTATTAACTAGCTCAACTTTGTATTACATGATGAACTCCTATATATAGAAAACGAAAAACAAGTAACAATCAAAATATCTTCCTAAGTAACAAACTATGTAACTAATCAAGTAAACAAATGCTAAATGGTGGTTTACACCAACAGAAACATGTTCCTCTAAAATAGAGCCACCATTATGAAGTTGAACTCGGACATTGCAAACAAGAAGGATATACTATGGGTACAGTGGATTCATTCAAGATATTTAAAGAATACCTCCTTTTGGGATTACATTCCCAGCCTAAATTGTTGTCATTACTGGAAAAATGATAAAAACTAGAGAGAATTTTGCTGGAATGAACATAAATGAACCCTATGATGTTCATAAGAGATATAGATGGCTGCTGGGTCAAAGGGACGTCAATGCTTCTGGGGTAAGAGGAGTGTGCCTAAGTTTAGGTTTATATTCTGGTAGATTAAGAAGGAGAGGCTCTAAACAATAGTGAAATTGAAGAAATCTATAGACATTGTCACTAAATGTTTATTATGCGAGGAAGAAGAGGACTTGACTCGTCTCCGTTGTAAATGTGTATATGCCACTAGAGTGAATGTAGAGGGTTTTTGGTTGGCTGCAGCACACCGTTTATGGAGAGAAGTTGAAAGAGATGATTGAAGATATAAAGAAGATGGAGTCGGCTCTCAAAAGAGAAATAACTACAATTGCATGGATGGCAAACTGCTATTTTATATAGAAGGCTAGGAATGCAAAACTCCACCAGACTGAAAGAAGATGAGGCTATAGCCAAAGTGAAGTTCCATGTACAAACTTTTATTAATAGTAGAATGAAGATAGTTTTTGGTGATTAAGCCCATCTCTGTACTTGTGTGTGTGTGTGTGTATATATATGGGATTGACTCCAGTCAGATGACACCTTACGGTGAGATGACATGCTACGGTCAGATGACGTAAAGCTCACCACTGGCCACTGCAAAGCTCACCAAGAACAACTACAAAGCTCACCAAACTGTAAGGCAAAGCTCACCATATTTTTTTAAACACTTTGAATTTTTTTTGAAAAAAAAATCAAAGTAAGGGGTGCTGACTAGACTTTGACCATTGACCGTTGACCATCACCGGCGACCCCCTGCCACCGCCGGCCGCCGCCGACCACCGCTGCTGACCACCGCCGGCCGCCGCCAGACGCCACCGCCACCGGTCTCCGCTGCGCCGCTGCCGCTGACCGGTGGTTGACCGGTGTTGCTATCTTATTTTTTATTAATTTTTTAATTTTCAAAATTAAAAAAAAAGTGAGTTTTGGTGTTCAAAGTGGTGAGCTTTGCTTTATTTCCAGGTGAGCTTTACATTGGCCATTGGTGAGCTTTGCAGTGTAATGTGGTGAGCTTTGCGTCATCTCACCGAAGCATGTCATTTCACCGTAAGGTGGCATCTCACTAGAGTCAATCCATATATATATATATATATATATATATATATATATATATATATATATATATATATATATATTCCGGATTGCAATTAATGAAGCACATATTAGTTTACGCCAAATTTCTACACTTTCATTTTAGATTTCAGTTTAAGCAGAGTTTTTTCCCCTTATTTTTTTGGCTGAAATGAAGGAAATGGAAGTACATTACTAGTATTGCATTCTTTAATGTATTTAAACTATCAATTTAATACATGCCAGTGTTTTTAAGATGATTCAGTCATTACAGCCACAACCTCACCCTACCCAACAAAATCTTGCCCTTACCAAAATGATAAAATAGCCACTACTCAAGACTGACATGGTCATGGGAATGATAAAGAGAAGTTTGGCTGTTTGTAGCTTACCATATACATGACGCACTCATTTTCAGAGTTCCAATTTTATCCTTTCAGACCATTTGAAGATATGAGAATGCACTTGATCTCCTCCCAGCTCATCTCCGGTAGCTCCCGCCGCAACTCTCACAACATCTTCAATCAGTGCGAAATTCCCCATTATATCAACATGAGCCCCACTCTGGGTCCCCCTACCCTCCAAGAAGTTGGCTGGAGGGTTATGGTTGTACTCTCTAATGTAAGTACGAATTCCAGAAGGATTGAAACGGGTGATTCCCCGCCAACCCATTGCGCACATATAGCCTGCGCTCAAGAGAGGAACCGTCTCGTCGCCATCAACATGGTAAATACCACCTTTCAAGCAAGGGCTTTCGCTTCCACCGTCTGCTGACGTGTCAATTTGGAAAGGTATGCTGCATTCAGATATAGGACTCTGTTTGTATACATATGCTCTTTCCGTTGGAATCCCCACCCCATACATTGAGTATATTTCCATGGCAGGGGCATTGAGCAGTCTGCATGGCAGAGTAAGGCAACTGTTAGGATGGAATTCATTAAGGGTAATAACAACAAAAGAGTTAGAAATTTTACAAGGTGCAAGTTTAGAAATTCATGAAGGGTAATAATGACAAAATAGTTTTCCTCTAATATGTACTCCAATTGGCAGTTCTCACCTTCTAAGAGTTCTTTTGGGAGGGGTTAGGCCTGCCTTACTATTGACAAAAGGACTGGAGCCAGCACTCCCATTGAATCAAGAGAGAAAATGTAGGACTCCGTCCAGAAAAGAGTCATATTTTCCAGGACAAGAAAATTTACACACTTTCTCTCTAGGACAAGAATTTTTTTGAAGCGACTCTTTTTTGGGATGTCAGAGTAAAAGATATGTTTGTAATTTGACAATGTCTCACTTTGTTTCTAAAGGGTTAGACCAATATTTGTAATGCTCATATTTTTTATCATCCAGATTCTCAGCAATTCCATGTGAGAAATGAGCACAGCCACGCTTCATCATCTTTGGTGCAACATAATGAAGAAGATCCAAAGCAGACTCAATTGTGTACACTTTAGTCTCCAACAGCTTTGATACCATCACCACGCATATCATGGTACTCTGTCCATACGTCACCACTGCAAGTAGTGTTAGCATGGATGTTACCCATGACAGCACCCTGGAGATTTTAACCCAAAAAAAAAAGTCAAAAAATAAACAAGCAAACAGATTGTGTTTTTGAATCGTTTCAGTAATAAACTAAATAAACATTAGGTTGAGAATAGCATGTAAATATACGCTTCAGTGGGAAACTAAACAAAAATGATGAGTGTCATTAATGAACATTGTGATGAAACTATTCAAGGGGATAGACGTTGAAACACAAATCCATCAGCTATACAATAGATAAGAAGTAATAAAAAGGTTATTAGAAAATTACCCTAAAGTCGACTCTCTCAATCTTTGAGGAATGTGCTTCAGCTACATCCTTCCCAAATGATATTATTCTTCCATAATGGATGCGAGATGGTTTCTGTAAACTTCCTGAAACAAAGACAGTTGCTTGGCGAGTGTTATTGTTCTTCAGCTTTTTTAAATTACATTCATATCCTTCTTCTGGGGACCAATCAAGGTCACCCCAGATAGTATCACCACCCTTTGGTATTATAGACATTGTCGAATCCCATGTACGAGTCATTCGCATCACATGCTGTAGAGTTTGAAAGCCAAACATGTCATTATCCAAAAAACTTGGTGCCATAGCTCTGCAGAGGGAAAAAGGGAAGTGTTATTTCAAATCAATGATCTCAAGAGCAAGATAACCAATTAATTAACCATAGATATTGAATGGCACAAAGAAAATCTGAGGTTAACCTCATGACATGTAACAAACTGACAGAGTTTATGGTGACTAATTGAAATTCTTTGTCAAAATATAGATGAATTGTTAGCATTCTATTCATAACTGGAAATTAAGGGTAGTTTTGCTTTGTGAAAGTAAGGAATTAAGGAAAGACCTAGCAGCAGCAATATCCTTGGCTTCAGCAGAAAATAATCCTGTGATTGCTTTTGGAACACCCAAAAATGGTCCACCTATGTTCATTACAGCCTTTATGTGTTTTGCACACCAATCTGATCCACCACCACCGCCCATAGGTGCTGGTGCCTCAACCCATTTCATAAAATGCAAGAAATATAGAACGCCCATTGAGTGTGGAACTACGACCACCTTTTTGCCACCGCTAATGTCTACCAGGTTCTCTATATTGCTTTTCATCCTGCTCGAAGTTTGATCTCTCATCTGAAGATGTTGCAAGTTATGAAATCATTTGAAAATATTTTATAATTTAAAAAAAGAAAGATCAAGAAATAAGATGTCTAAACATTTGGGTGTGTGCGTGTGTGTGTTAATGATTAAGTGCACATTGCCAATATGACAATGGCTAACATGCATAATTAAGACCCTAACAAAAAAACGACACACATGAGTGTAGGTGCGGTTCAACTGACCACTAGAAGTTAGAAAACATCAAGGAATCCATAGTACCTCAGTGTTCTGAAATGAGATTCTCCAATCATAGGAAGCCATATACATGTTCTTCTCCTCATACCCAATGCGAGCCAGGTTTGCTATCAGAACAGCCCATACAAAATAACCAGGTGCGAAGTAGTCTGCTACAACTAGTCCAGAGACAGGCCTGATCCTTATACCAGGAGGATCCAGTCCACTCTCATTGTTTAGCGACATATGCTCCACCCAGCACAATGGCCTGCAAAATGCATAGATAGAATAGTGGTGGGATCGATATACACTGTGTAAGCACAAACTTTACTCTTAGGCTCTAATCGCACAGGAAACATGAGATAGAGCAGCAAAAGTCATCAACATAGTAAATCAGAGGAGTATATATCTTCATTATTCAATAGTATGCTTAACTCTATAGATCACATGAAAAAGTCCTTGTAATAGGCTAGCTAAAATGCAAGCAGAAAGCTGTTCAAAGTTAAAATTGTTTGCAAACATGCTATTGTAAATACTTTGGATGTGTGACACATAAAAAAGAAGAAAATGAGTCCCTAGAAATTTCTATAAGGGTTTCAACATATTATATTTATCTGTCTATTCTACCAGTATACAATTCACCAAGCTAAATAAAATTACTAGTCAACCATGTTTCCAAAACAGCTCTCTAGAAGTTTACTTTTTCAAAAAACAGAGTACCAGATCAAATCTTTGCACACTCAGATAACAGACAACTAAAAACCATTTCTACACAAGTGGAAAGTTCAAATTCTAGATTAAGTGCGCAATTAAGACTTAAGAACTAAGCTATGAAATCCAGAACCAAGAAACCAAACCAAACTGATCCATTTATGACTAGGTGGGTTGGCTAGATCTTTCAATCACTCAAAACAAAACAAATCAACAACACAAGAAATCCTTGTCAAGAGACTAGAGAAAATTCCACTTTCCCCATCCCATTTTCTTTTCCATGAAGTGTGTTACCTTTTGTATAATTCGCCAAAAGTACCACCCCAGAGCCTCTTCCTGAACAGCCCCTCGGCGCACGGGTGCCCTTCCCATAACTCCAGCCCACCAGTGACAATCCCGGGCACAAACACCACCGGATGCTTCGCCCTCAACCCTTCTTTAGCCAATTTGACCCCGGGCGGGTCAGGCAACGGGCCTGTAATCGCCTCAGTCACATACTGCGGAATCGAGGCAGGCAATGCATTATACAGGAACAATAGCAGCCACCAAGTCGAACATATGCATCCGACGAACCAACAGCAACTGTCAAAACAGTTCCATTTCCTCCTCCTGGTTGAATCAGCACTCCAACTCTGAGATTTCTTCTTCTCCTCTTCCCATTCTTCACACTTCTTCTCTAAACTCGAATTATTCTTAACTTCATCACCCTTTCTTTGCCTCAGAACCGACATGCATAAAGAAGCATATGCTTCTGTATACAAACTGAAATTCCTTCAAACAATTACAGAGATTCCAATCATAGCGCAAATCTCAGTTCCTTCATTGACCTCGAAGCTAATGTTTATCCGAATACACTAACCCTAACCCTAACCCCAGACCTCGTGTGTCAGAGGAAATGACCAGAGGGTAAATAAACGAATCAATATAGATAAGGAGCTGTTTGTTTCAGCCTCTTAATGGTTTAGATGTCTGAATGATTCAGCACTTAATGGTTCAGACTGTTTGTTTCAGCCTCTTAATGGTTCAGATGTTTGAATGGTTAAGAAATTTGCCTCTGAATGGTTAAGAGCTCTTATCTGAATTGATCAGACATTTGCCTCTAAATAGTTAAACAATATACTAGCTCTTAATGGTTCAGACCTCTTACTGGTTCAGCACTTAATGGTTCAGACCTCTTACTGGTTCAACACTTACCCATTCAGAAGTTATCAAACAGCCCCGAAGTCGATCAGGGCTCAGGAGGTGCTATTTCAGGCTAGCATTTTAACAATAATGAAAACAATAAAGTCCTTAGTTAAATTATGCGGATACGGAGGTGTGCGGAGGTTCGGCGGCGTTGAGCGGCGGCTGCGAGCTTAAGCTTAGAGTGAGGAGATTGTAACTTGTAAGACGGATTCCGGCGAGAGTTGAAAGAGACATGTGGCATTTTTAAATGATACTACTCGGTCCATGACTCCATGTCATAGTTTGGACTTTTGCTATCAAATTATATGTATTCGTTTACTTTGATTTTTTCAATTCAAATTAGACAAATTTTAATCATCAGTTACTCTCAATTTTGTATTACATATTAATACAATAGAATAAATTTTTGAAAGTTCAAAACAAGTGTGATATATTAAAATCATTTATGACTAATATACATTATAATTTTTACTTAATTAAGGCTCAACGTTCGTCCATTTTGATTCAAAAATGTTAAACTGGATGAATATTCTTGGATATTTAGTATTAATTATATAAAATAATATTTTGAAAATATTCAAAAAATAAATCTAATAAAATTAATTTAGTATCAATATCTAATATTATTTTTTATTTAATTTGTGATCAAGCTTGGCCAATTTTGACCGAAAATTAAAAAAATGAATAAATAATCATAAATGGAAGTAGTTCTCCACAAATGAAATGTTTTTAGATAAAATTTTAATTATGTAAATTGATTTTGAAAATGATATCGTTAATGATTATTGTGAATGCTAACGTTAAACTCTAAAGTAATTGCCAAATGGGGCTAAACTTTGTACTCCGTATTAAAGAACACAGTTTTTATAGTGGAAAAGTAACTTTTAAATAATTTTTTCGTCCCAAAATAGATTATGTTCTTACTATTCGGGTTTTCTGATAAAATCTGTTTACTTTTATTTTTCATTAATTATTTGATAGTAGTGGTGAACCTACCTTGTTCCGACCGGGGGCACCTACACTCGGTCATTTTTTTAATATGTAGTGTAACGCCCCAAAACATATCATAAAATTAACATTATGTTTGGTTCAAGGAATTAGAGAGGGAAAGGAAAAGAAAATGAAAATATTTTTTTTGTTTGATTAGAGAGGAAAAGAAAAAGTGGAGTGAAAAGAAAATGAGAAAACAAAAAATACTAAGGGGAGGAAAAACTAAATTTCTTTCATTTTGGTGAGAAAAATGAGAGAAAACAAATTTTTTTCTTTTCTTTCAAATTTCTTGAACCAAATATAGTGTTAGAAACAAGGAACTTATGATAAATATGTTAGGCCAACTCAATGAGCAAGTAGTTATTAGGCCCAATATACATAGCCCACCATAAAAATTAAAAACCCATCAAATAGGATTGACCAAAAGGCCGAGACACATCTAAGGAAAGCCTGAATGATATGGGTTGGGTATCATGGGTTGGCGATACCCAACCCAAAACGAGGTCCACCGGGTGTAAGGATATAAATCCCTCTTAGCTTATATAGATCGGGTATAATATATTTGTTCATATGTTCGTGTATAATATAAATCATATGTTTAAAATATGTCGTATTGTATGTTTTATACGCTTAGAGTACGTATTTGAACATGTTTGTGTTTTATGCAGAGGTCAGTAGCGCGCAAGAATAGCTGTCCACGGCGTGCCTCGGGATGGTAACGAGACTCCGATATGCATCAGAATTATTATTCTTTAATTATTGTTATATACTGCAGTTTTTTAGGAGAACGGAATTATTAGCTCATTCGATGATTCTTTTTACGGTTCTTTATCTCGTCGTTTTTCTTGAATCGTCAAGATTAAAAACCTAATTCTATTAGGACTCAGACTTGTCTACTATAGATAGAGATGTACTAATTGAATATTTTTATGAATAAAATTAAACCCTAAATTTTTCCCTTTTCCCAAGAATTTGAAGACGCGCTAAGTCTTCCCTATTTGATATTCATTGAAACATCATCAAGCGTAATATAAAGCAAAGATTATTTAGGGATGGAATGAGTTAGACATGCTCTATTCTATCATTTTTAGACATCGACTTTAGCAATTAAATAGACTGGACCCAATGACAACTACTTGTTATGAATCATTATATATTTCAAGCGAATGTGTTATTTCTTTATTCTAATTTAAATTGTTTGTTGTTCTATATGAGGTTGAAATGAAATTATTTCAATCTATTTTATTTAAAATTGGTGTAGAATTTGAAAATGTATTTAAAACCTACATAAAAAGATATACATGATTATATTATTTTATTAAATGAGTAACAAAAATAGATAGAGAAAGTGATTAAGGATTGACCCTATGAATAATTAATAACCAACTTAAAATATTAAAAATTATTTTTGGCCACAACCACAAACCTGTGTTTTTAACTGAGTTGATTGTTTTATATAATATCAGAGTCTTGTTAACTGAGAATTTACGAGTTTGAAATTCAACACAATTTAGAAAAAATTAAGTATGATTTCACTTTCAAGGCTTGAAGCGGTCATGTTTGCGTGAAAGCGTGTTAGAATATAAAAATCGTTTCTAAATTACAACCACAAACTTGAATTTTTGATTTAATCAGTTCTTTAACAAAACAACCCTATCTTACCAATTTGGTACGAAATATTTTATGGTATGTTTTGAAACATAGATTTGGATTTAAATCTAGACTTGACTCAAATTTCATGTTTTGGAAATTTAAAAATTTTAAATTTAGATTTGAGTCAAATTCTTCACATTTATAACAAAGTTTGATTTGAAATCTATTTACATTCCCTTGTCATTTGAAATTCAAGATTTTAAATTTTGAAATTGAAATGCATGAATTGAAATGAAATATTTGTTGCCAAACTCTACATTAATGATTTAGTTTAACCGATACGTAATTATATTACACAAGTTTTCAATTTTTTCAAAGGGGGGAGGGAGAGAATTCTTTTCTTTCAGAACAGCGGAACAAGCCGTTAAAGTCAAAAAGAGCAAAGCTCAGTGGTTGGGATTAGCGTAAAGTATATACTAATTAAAAAGTGAAATCAATTCTAATTTCTAATGAAGAATGTAAATTAATATAAATATACTCTGTTTCCTGCCCAAATTCATCAAAAGCTTTAGAGGATCGGACGTGCCGGAGAGCAATTTCCAGGTTCATCTCTCTCTTCTCTTCTTCTCCATCTTCATACGCTTCATTTCGTCTGCATCTATTTAATTCTGCGATTAATCTCGGTTTTTTTCTATGATTCAGGTCGATACGAACATCAGTTTTGTATATAATTTGTATAGATTCATAACAGATTCATCCAGAGAGAGTGAAGGATCGGAGAGATAGATCAGTGTATATATATACATTCAAACAAAAATGCTTAATTGCATTCCTCGTTCAAAGCAATCCGCCGGGGAATCGGAGAAATCGAACTCAAATGCAGCTTCGCAGAGCAAGCAATCGGCTAAAAATCTCAGTTCTCAGGTGAAATTATCTGTGCAGGCGGTTGAGGATTTCGCGTAATTGCGGCATTTTTTGATGAATTTGGGGAAACGTTTTGTGTTTGTAGATAAAGGATATGGCGCTGAAGGCGTCGGGGGCGTATAAGAACTGCAATTCGTGCACGAGCCAGCCGAATCTGCGGCGGAACGGGAGCGTGAGCGGGGGGGCGGCGGACCTGGCGGCGCCGGACAAGTTCCGGTGGTCGTACAGGCGGACGGGGAGCTTCAGCTCGAACTCGACGTCGGGGAGGAAGGAGTTGGAGGCGAGGCTGAAGGGGATATCGAGCGGGGAGGTGACGCCGACGTCGATATCGGCGTCGGCGAGTGGCCGGCGAGCTGACCCGGTGGTGTTCGTGGAAGAGAACGAGCCCAAGGAGTGGGTTGCGCAGGTAGAGCCCGGCGTTTTGATCACCTTCGTCTCGCTGCCACGTGGCGGCAACGATCTCAAGCGAATTCGCTTCAGGTACTTTCCTTTTCCTTTTTCTTTCTTTTTGTTTTTTTAAAGCAAAAATTGCTTTGTTTGACGGGTTTAACGGCTTTTGATTGGTACAATTTTGAGTTTTTTACCCCATATTTTACCAAATGAATTACCACTAGAATTATTGAGAACAATAGTATTACTCCCTACTTACTATTGAGTATATTTTGGTATTAGTTGACGAAAAATTTAATGAATATATAAAGAGTAATTTACCTAAATAGAACTAAATGACTTTTTCAATATAAGATCATATGTTTTTATTTTCCAATGTAGGACCATATGTCATTATTTATTAGTCATTATTCAACTAAATGTTTAGCATTACTTGGACATTATTCCTCTCCCTAAACATTATTAAGTTTTATTTAGGAAATAAACAAGTTTAAGTCCTACATTAGGAAATAACTTATGTTTTAATCACATTCAATGCAAATTTCACATAAATAAATACAAAATACAAGATAAATAGTTTTAATTTCATACTCCGTATTTGATACCGAGTAAATGTTAAAGTGTAAAAGATGCACGATTAAATCCTGAAATTTACTCAAAATTTTTAAAAAAATTATTGAAACTAAAAAACTATGCAAACTTTCCTACATAGCAACATGAGTTTAAAAAGAGAAATGTTAGAATTACAAACAAATACATACGGAGTATGTTACAACATGGGTATAACTTATTTTTGTGAATTTTAATTTCTTTCTTTTTTTCATTATTTGAAATCATTTTGTTTTTTTAGTAAAGTACACAAATAACAAATTTGTAAAATTTCTTATCTTTTCTTTGTGATTCTAACTTTTTTGGTTACAAGAGTTCTTGATAAAATTTATCATGAAGAGTGCCTTATGACATTGTTAAGTGTTAAGTAATATCATGGGATAACCGCATGACCCAAGTGTCCTACGACGTTCTGTTAAAAAAATTGACAGTTTCTACCCCGGGTAAACTTCCCCACTCCGGCCCGACACGAACATATACCCCCACCCTTTTAATTTCACCCCACAAATTTTGTTGATTTTGGAGTCAATTTTTGACTTCAAAGTCAAAAAAGTTCGTGGGGTGTAACTGAAAGGGTGGGGGAATGAGTTCGAATCAGACCGGGGTGGGGAGGGCTCGTGGGGAGGGCTCAGGAGAATTTAAATAATCAATTTTTTAAATGGAGCACCGTAAGATCTCCAAATCATCCCATGACATTTATCCTATTGTCATGGAAACCAAGCCGTATCACGAAATACGTAAAAAAAATCGCTTCTCCAAGCGTCCCACCGAAACTGCCCCAAGTCTTTAGGATATGAAGTAAACCACAGCCCACAGGGACTCATATCCCATGGTCCTACAAGCTTGGAGGGCACAAGGAGCTACGACCCACCATTGAGCTAAGCCTGCGGGGGCTTGTTTCTGCTTAGTAGCCCTATCGAACTCAGATTAAAATCTATAATTATTTTAAGTTTGTTGGACTAGTTTAACATCTATTCCTTACCTAAGTCTCTAACCACACATTTTTTTTCTTGACTTGATCCGTAAAAACTCAGTTTATTACACAAAACGACACCATTGTATATATATATACTCCCTCCTCCGTCCACAAATAAACTTTACGTTCATTATTCACATGGTCAAACTTTATTCACTTTATTGGCCTATTTTAGTTAATCATTTGATAAAATAATATAGTCATGTCACCTCTAATTTTGTAGATCTTTTGATATAGTTTTTTAATATGTAATTTTTATATTTTAATTTTACACCATTTTTTCCTATGTCATGACTCACTACCGGCGACTAATTGTTCAATATATTTTTTCTTTAAGAAAAAATATGTGATTCAAATTTTATTTTCTTATAAAGAAAAAAATACAAAGCATCATTTTCTTATAAAGAAAAAATACTCAGCATCATTTTCTTTTTATATAACAAGTTTTTAACATTTCTTTCAAAATTCATTAAGGCTGTGTTTGGAAATTAACATTTCATTTCAGTTTTTACATTTTAATTTTAAAATTTAAACACTTGAATTTCAAATGACAACGAGAGAGATGCAAATTTACAATTGAGTTTTGTAATGAATTAGATGCATTTACCCGCATGGGTAGCTCAACTTATCTAAGGAGAGAATGTCATGCTCATTGATCTCAGTGTGGAATCTTGGCCACATGAGTGTGAGATTCTATTCTTTGTAATAGCTCCTTGTATACACTGAGTACAAAATGTTCTCTTTAAGGATTAGATTGAGATTATACCATAATTTATCTTCTTTACAATTTTATCGGGATAGGGTGTGAGGGTTCCACCTTTTTAAAAAACGGATAAGTTTTATAGATAAGAATCTAGCCTAGTAGCTGTGTTTAAAGAGACAAAATGGGACCAGCCAAAATAAATAAAGAGGGACTGCGCAATTCCAAAACAACAAAAATCGTGGTCAACACAACACCAAGGGACTAAATTGATCAAAGTGTCGTGCACAGTCGACGCATAAAAGTAAATCCACATCATTGTTACCAGAACAAAGCGTGATTAAAGTAAATCCCATCTTTGACGATCCACCCTAAAATTCAACCATTTTTAATTTCCCTAGAGCTCTCTCCTGCCCGCGGGTTTTCTCATCCTGCCCGCCAACCAATTATAATGCCTTTTTATTTCATTTTTTTGGTCTTCGCCTTACGTTCTCTTTCGGTGGACTGCATTTAGTACGTAAAATCTTTTGTCTCTTTGCTTCTGCCTTTTATTTATGTTACTAGTTTTGTCTTTTACCATGAAACTTTCTTTTAAAATGAAAAAATAATAATTGAGGGAGTAATTTAGTAATAAATTACTCACTACCCGGTAAAGACATAGTGGATTATGAGTTAAAACAAATTACTATTCCTGACTACATCTTGTTATATTTTGCCATTTAGGCTAGTATAAGAAAACCCGTGGCGGGGGAGAAGAGGCTAATAGCCCAAGTAAAATTTGCACTAAATAGTACAGTACTAACTCTGAATTAGAAATACTCCAAAAATTTTGGTAATCAATTGATGATCAATATCAGTATATTTATTTATTTTTGTTGTCTGCAAGTTGAATGGTAAAGAATATATTCCAATGAATGTCTTCTAACTGGCCAAATTTTAATCTTGAATGGTACAAAGAATATATTCCAATGATTGTCTGCAATTTTCCCCCACTAAAAAATGGAAACAGTTTTTAATTAATTTCATATAAAGTTTCTACCCCATAATCTAATAATGTTTTTTTTTTCAAAGTTTTGTTGTATGTCATGGCAATATTTTTCAAACTTGTTACTCCCTAGAATCTTGAAAACAGCTTTCACACATCTTTATTTTCTTCTTGCAAAACTTGGGAAAGAGGGAATTGTCAATTGTGAGCACTTCTTTTCTCTTTTTTGGTCTGTCCCTTTCTTTTTCTTCGTATTTGTTTTGGTTTTTCTACTACTTTATTTTCTTATTTTTTAAAAGCATTTTCATTTTATTCACGTCCTCTCTCCCCTTTTTATTGGATTATTCTTTCCAAATTGTTCAGATAGTTTTTCATTTTTTCGTGAACTTCAAAAAAAATCATGTAAAGGAATATAGGAACTCAATTAATTCTATATAGGGCACGGAATGTCACATCCTTTATGCTCTTCTCCCATCCTTGGAAACATCCTCCCTACTTCTGAGTAGGGGCAATGTCTGCGTACACACATCCTCCCCAGACCCTACTGTAATGGGACTCAACTTGCTTGTTGTTGTTTTATGGTCCTCTCCCTCGAAAATGAACGTGTTTATGAGATTCTAGTGCATGAAATATAAAATTTTTAATTCCATCTATTTGATTATAAATATTAAAATTAAAAAATAGAATTTATATCTAAAAAAATTACATAAAATTTTTTACAAAAAAGAGGTGACAAGACTATATTATTATACTCTATATTAAAAAATGAATAGTAAAAATAAATATAAAAAACTAAAATGAATAAGTTTTGACCATTTTAAAGAAATAAGTATAACCAATTTTTTTTTGTACGGAGTATCTTTCTTCTTTCCAAATGCCAAATGCTTTTTTCCCATAGATGAAGAATGTGATCGAACTGAGAGCGAAATGGTAAAAAAAAAATTAGATTCTTATAAAGAGGAAAAATCATGTCAATATTTCTAAAAAGAAATTTTAAATTCTACACAAGAACTTCAAGATTAAAAAATTATCACAGTACAAGTGCTTCTAGAATTTAATTTATTTTATAATAATACTCCAATATTTTGAATTGACCATAAATATTCATAGAAAAATTGGGGATCCATGTAAAATGAAATTTTTCATAGAGTGTTGTTCTAAAATAAATAAATCCAACAACACCACTAATAATTACGGGGTACTACTTTCGTCTCAGAATATTTGTCTATCGGCCCATTTTTATGTTTACAGTCAAATTGGAGTGATATTGATCTTCAATTGAATAAAAAATATATTGCATGCTATGGAGTAATATTAATATGTTTCATTATATTTATCTTGTTAAAAAACCATAAAATCAATCCATTGTATTAATACGCAATGAAATTTTTATTCATGTGTTTATCCGTTTTGACTAAAAAAGTTAAATCAGACAAATTGTTAGAATATTAAAAAAAATTGAACCTACTATACACCACAAATTTAAATTCTAGTTGAGCTAGTTCTCTGTCAATCTGAAATGAAGTATTTAATTTGAAGTACTTGTAAATTCCTAAATTTCATAGATCATTGATATATGTTTTTCCCACAAATTAAAGAATCCATTACTTTTTACTCATAAAATAATCAAGATGCGTTGTTGCATTACTATCTAAAACTCCATTAAATGAAAACAAAGAAAGTTCAAAGTGTTTTATATATATATATATATATATATATATATATATATATATATATATATATATCTGTGTGTGTGTGTGTGTATATTATGATTTAGTTTATTAATTATTATTAGTCCTTGAGTCGGCAAGAATTTGATTGAATTGAATGGTGATCTTTTGTATATCTCAGCCTTTTTAAAATGGAGTGTGAGTCATTGTTCAAACATGAATGAACAAAATGTGAAATGTAAGCCACTGCCCATTTAAATATAGAGAATAGGTAGATCTACAGGGGATTAGTGAAAGTGGGAGGGTTCAACTACATCATCATTAAATAAATTTAATCACTAGATTCTTTGTCCCAGTTTTATTTAGCATATTTTATTTTGAAAAAATATTCCATCTGTCTAGTCATGAAAGTTTATGTTAGGAAATAAGAATGGAGGAAGAACGCTGCTGAGAACAGCATTAACAAAGAATGAGAAGAATAACTTGATAGAGTATAACGAATCGCGTAGAACGCTTTCAGATCAAAATTATTTCGAGGTGTATAAAAATATTTTAATCGGATAAGATATTAATCAACATCAAGCTTTTCGAATCATATCTTCAACTATACCCGAGCGTCTCTATTTATAGAGATGAAAATCGATGATCACACATGATCTTTCGCATAAAAATTTGCAAACTTTCGCGTGGAAGGGATAATCGCAGACTTTCGATGTTTTGGACGCTGACGTTCGTAGAGTTTGGTCAAAATTGGTCTTTACGCCGCTCGACTCCGGCCAGGGGCTCTGCCCCTTGGACCTCGCTATCGGGGGCTACCGCCCCCAAACCCCCGCCATGAATTCGTAATATCGTTGAACGAGTGCACACGCCGTGCCTCCTAACTCGTTAGACAACGTCTATTCAAATTCTTGTTTGATTTAAGTAAATCTAATCATACAAAAAATGGTCGATGACACTAAAATCACCAATCGTTTACACGTATTGTTTCGTTTATTCCAAATAAATTTTACTTTTTTTCCCATTTTCTCTTTCAAGAAATAAATACTCCTTATGTTATTGGTAGCATTTTCTTCTCTTTAAAAGAAATCAAATTGCAACCACACATTCTTCAATTTTAAATTTTGAAATCAAAATGTAAACTTTATTGCAGGACGCAAGCAAAAACGGGATAGGGAGGAAATGAGTTATGAAATGTTGTTAATTTTCTACTCCAAATTTAAAGTTTTTACTGTTTTTTTTGTTTACCCCCAAAAATAAATTATTTCCTTTTCTTCTAAGAAAAGTAGTATTGAATGGTGATTCACATTAATTATTTTTCTCTGCATAAAGAATAAATGTGATTTTTTTTTTGGTTAACTGATGGGTTAGTTATATGAATTTGGGCATGCAGTCGAGAAATGTTCAACAAGAACCAGGCTCAAAAGTGGTGGACAGATAACTATGACAAAGTAATGGAACTCTATAATGTGAAGAAGCTAAACCGCCAAGCTTTTCCTTTACCAACCCCACCAAGAACCCAAGACCAGGTCTTATATATTTCTTCTCCAATCTGCTTTATTTTCATGTTTATTTTTATTTAATTACTTATGTTTAATTACCCCTATGTTCCCCCCTAATACATGTTTACCAATAAGTTAAAAGGCTCCAAAGCTTGATGTTATCTCTTCATGTTTTCTTTTTTAAAATATTATACTTAAATCCTCCAATTCAACCCCAAAAGTTAACGCAAAGGATTGCTTCACCCTAGCTATTATAAATTAAACCACATAATATTACCGTGTGAAATACTTCTTCCATTCTTGTTTAACTGCATGTTTCATTTTGGGTGTCAAACGTTTGACTATAGATATATGCAATGACTTAAAATGCTAAAGTTATACGGAGTACTAGACTATTGGGATAAAAAAGTACTTTTAATGTATTATTTTTATTAATTTTTCGTTTAAATACTTTTGGTCAAATATTATACTCAAAAAGCGATCAGTTAAAAAGGAAAGGAGGGAGTAAAATATTTTGAGCAAGTTAAGTAAAAGGGGATTGACGTTTGAACACCCGACATCTTTTTCTGTAGATTTTAAAGATGGAACACGAAGGAGACGCACTAAACAAAGAGCGAGTGCCTCGCTCCTTATACCGCCCAAACCACTCGTCCTCGGAGTCCTTGGAGCAACAACACTCATCACATTGTTATGACATGGCTGCCTCCACCCCAAAGCTGTCGAGCATCAGCGGCTTGACGAAGACGGAGACATCATCCATAACAACAACGACGACCAGCACATCTCGGGATGCGGACCGCTCGGAGTTCTCGATAAGCAATGCTAGTGATCTCGAGAGCGAATGGGTCGAGCAAGACGAGCCTGGCGTTTACATTACCATCAGAGCTTTGCCTAATGGTAGGAGGGAACTCCGGCGTGTTAGATTCAGGTTAGTTTGTTTTCACTTATTTTCTCTAAGGACAATGCTAGGAACCCACCGCAGTTGCCCTCACATATGACAAACACAGATTATTTTCTACATGCACACACGATAAATAACTGTGTTCAGAGTCGTCTGTAAATGTATAAATCATCTGGAATTGTCATCAGTAGGAACAACTGCGGTGGGTTTCTAGCATTTATGTTTCTCTAATCACTTATCGTATATCATTATCTTACAAGCATTTCATCATATCCCAAACTCAAATTAGTTACCAATACAAGCCACTCTTCTACCTAGGCTATGAAATCTCTTTTCAGTTAATACTATGCAATCAACAAAAAACTTCATATGAAATTTAACAGGAGCAATACATACCCTCTTCTTCTTTAATTTGGTCTGTTTTTGATCTGTTCCCATGAATTCAATGTACTTATTGGGTGATTATATCTACAAATTTCTTAAGATTTGTGTGTAATTAATGGATTGAATGTGAACGATGCAGCCGGGAAAAGTTCGGGGAGATGCACGCGAGAGTGTGGTGGGAGGAGAACAGAGCCAGAATACATAAGCAGTACCTGTGAAGTAACATTCTTCAATGATCCTTATATATATATACATATATATATATATATATACATACATCTGCTCTATGCTGCTTATTATAATTACATATATAAAAAAAAGAAGAAAAAAGATATACATATAAATATATATAGGGTGGGATAAATACCCAATAGCATTTTTGTGTTGCTCTTATTTATTATCTCGGATGTGGGAATATGGCCTTACTTTTTTTTCCCCATATGAATATATATAGTATATATTGGATGAATTGAGGGAGCATTCCTAGTGCTTGCTTCAAGTCAACCACTAATGCCCATTGCTCTAAAACTCCTCATCTAGGCACCCCCACGTATCGACGTTATGTCTTCGTAGACTCGTAGTCTTCGACGGTTTATTATTCTCAGAGTGCCTGGGTGCTAGTCTTTTGTACCAAAAAAAGGATGGACCACGTCTAAGGTCTCTCACGATCGGTTTGGGCAGTAGTTTAAAAAAGGTATAAACTACGTCCTAAAATCTCCCGGGACCGGTTTGGATCGTAGCCTGAAATTGGTGTTAGGCTCTTGTAAAAAAGAAAAAAAGATAAATCTCATACTAGAGTCCTCAGTTTGGAATTGGTGTTAGCTAGGCTTTTATCTATTGCATAGAAGAGGTTTATGAGAGTTTTAGAATAGTGACCAAAGATATATATATCATGTATGGGATTTCACAACTATTATTTGTTAATAGGGGGCATTTTCTTTATATATTATTATTTATTATTTTGTTTTCATTGCGTTTTTAGATTTGGATCCACTAAGCTAACAATATGTATAGCCTTGTAGTAGCTTTAATATACATGTGTAGTTTATGTAATTTCTTTCTCTCAACATTCTTTGTAGTGTGGTATTCCGTATACATTGCTTCTCCCGTTCCAAATTAAATTGTCTCTTTACTATTCACAAAGTCAAACTTCATTAACTATATTTTCCAATTTTGATTAAGCATTTGATAACATAATATAGCTATGCCGCCACTAGTTTTGTAAATCTTTTAGTGTAGTTTTTAAATATGTAATTTTAATTTTTTAATTTTACACCGTTTTTCATATAAGATTCTTTAAAAAAATTTCAGACAAATATCGTCAAGCAAAATATACCATTTAAAGTGGAACCACCAATTTGAATTTATGCTTACGTGTACCGCCAATTTGAATTTCTTCCTATTCACGTAACAGGTTAAATATAATGCTTTTATGTACTCCCTCTATCTAGAATTAACTTTTTTATTTGACTTTCGTTAACCAAAATTTGTAAATTTTGACTTTAGTATACCAAAAAAATATATTGTATTTCAATAACATGTAATGTTAATAATTTTTTTTGGAACATTCAAAGTATTACTCCGTGTAATAGAGACCGTGAAAAGTTAAATGAGAACATCAAATTCAGACAAAAGATGTAATCTTGAGGTATATGATACAAATTTATTTTTCAGTTTGACACTAGTATTGAAATATTATAAATTGAAAAGAATATTAATAAAAAGCCGTAATATATGTGTAAAGAAATTATTGAAACATAAATGGTTAGAAATGATTACTCTTTTTGAGTTATTTTTTAAGTTATTTATTTTGCACCCTGAAGTAATTTACTACTACGTAATTTTCTAAAAATATACAGAAAAGACCGGGTGACATTGTCCTATAATTTCATCCGATGACACTAGCTCCAATTTGAACACTTATGGTACTACGTTCCTAAAAATGAAAATTCATACCCCTATGAAGGGGTATAATTAAATAAAAAGGATGTTTGGCAGTGCGCTGCTTTTAACAATTTAGCTTCTGCTTTGAGTAGAAGTGATTTTACTCTGTTTAGCATGTCAGCTTCTGCTTTTCACCAACATTATTTTGTACATGGAACACCGTTTCGGAGAAACATATATGAGGTGCTTTTGCTTTCAACTTTGGTAGAAATCACTTTATCCAGAAGTCAATCACTCCCAAACACCCTCAAAGTGTCTCATACTAGCGTTAAAGTACTTTACTTAAGCCAACGTCAGTTTACTCATCCATCGTTCTAGAGTTCTACGCACTTAATATTTTCCCTGCCAAACAAATTAAGCATTGACTATTAATACCAGTACGTTTTTTTAAATAAAAATCATAATGCCGAGTATGGCATTATTAAAAAAATTATTTATTAAAGATACTTTGATAAAAGTACGAAACTTAGAACTTTTGCTAAAACATGTCACTTGAAAACATCATTTAAGGTTTTAACCAGTTTGACAAAGAATCAAACTTGGAGGGTAGAAAACAACAATTTCTACTTATAATAAGAATATTATTTTACATTTCCCGGAACATGATAATTAGAAATGTAAAATTATTTGATTGAAAGTTGAAACTATAACCAGAAGACAAAACATACATTTTCTTTAATAAGATTTGGGGGTGGGGGGCCCGGGGGGGAGCATATGAAGACAAAACAGAGAGGCTACAATTATGTTAAAAATTAGCCACTAACAACATTTTTAGTGAGAGGCCTACTTTAGGGTAACCTAAACATTTGCGACTAAAGTTGGCCTTGCAGTCTTGAACCATACCTTAGAGCATTGCAAATTTACAATACAAAAAAAAGATTCAAGAGAGAACTGTACCACGCATGACGAAGTGCCCAACACTCAAAAATCAAGGCTTTGGTTACGCTTAAGCGGACGAATAAAGGAGCGGTCCTTGAAGAAAATCGGGTGCTTTGAGATGCTCTAGCACCAGGGTCATCTTCAATCCGATAATCTTAACTTGTGGGTTCGAGTGCCCTTCGAGGAATACATTTGTAACCTGTACACAATATTCTCAACTCAGTATATTCTAAAAAATAGTACTCCCTCCGTCCCAAAAAACATTTCTCCTTTCTTTTTTCATCCGTCCCAAAAAACATTTCTCATTTCTATTAAAAAGTCACTTTTACCCCTTACTTATTCATACCCTACCTATCACATCATACCTTTTTACTAATAATCTATCCATCAAATCATACTTTTACCCATCACATCAAAGGACATTTTTGGAAATTCAATACCAAAATACACTCCCCTTAAATCCCTCTACAAAACCAAAACTCCCATGTTTTCCGGGACGGAGGGAGTAATTGGTGTCTTAGGATCTGTTTGGATTGAGTGTTAGGAGAAAGGGGGTAAGTAAAGAGGGAGAGTACTCTTCCTTGCCCTTGTTTGGAAGAATTTTATGAAGTGTAAAGATGAGAAACACATACTCCCCCTACCACCCATTTACTCTATTTTTAACACTCCAAAATGGGAGCCAAAAGAGAGTAAGATGGACACTTCCAAACACGGTTTCTTCACTTTCTCTCATTTTCCCTCCATCCAAACAAAGCCTTAGTCAGGGCCTTAGTCAGGGATGCATACTAAAGAAAAGTGAATTGTTTGGTTGAAATTTATTTTAAAATGAGAGATAATACCAATAGCACAATTCTCCAATCACGAATCTTGAGGAAGACGAACCTGGGTACAGCCAAAACACTTCAAAACTTCTAGTGATAAACAGTGATCAGCAATCAGGCCTAGGGCTTCATCTGTCAGGTTGCGACACCAAGACACATCCAAACTCCGCAAATTTTTACAACGTTTTGCAAGTGCCATTGCAGTGTTGTGTGAAACCTACAAAATGTTTCAGCAAATAACTTATACATAGGATGATAGAAGAAAAAAACAGTTCATGCCCCACTTATCTTGGGAACGATAGATCAGACAGGAAAGAAACAAGATATCAAAGTGCATTTTTCCGCCAAGGAGATTATCTGTTCTTCCTGTAAACGAACTACAAGGGGCGGTTTGATACCTTGCTGATGTTATTGAGTGATAGTTCTTTCATTGAATTTCCAAAAGTTTCTAGATATGCAGCAATAGCTTCATCACTGTCAAAGAAGAATGGAAAAGAACTCGTTAAGTTACAAAACAGCATCGTTCTTATCTAGGAAAAAATACGGTATCAAACTTCAGTAATAGCATGATGACCAAATATTCACCATGTACGTTTGGCAACCATAATGACCAAATGGGCTTAAAGAAGATTACTAACTAGAAAAAAAGGCATACTTATTAGTTCATGTTATTTAACTAAACATTCAAGTAAACCAACCTGAATGCATTCCGACAAAGCATTAGCTTGTCTAGTGCAATACAACCATTCACAAGAAAACCTAGAGAATAGTCTGTCAACTTGCACAAGTTACTCAGATCTATTGCACATAATGCAGGACAAGATTCAGCAACAGCTTTCAATGAACGATCTGTCAATTTCCTGCATCCATGACAAGATATATATAACATAAATGGATGAGATGATGAGTAAAAAAAGAAACATTTTAGGAATGACATATTTAGATATGGGAATGACCACCTACATGCAGTCGTTCAAAGTAAGCTCTCTCATATTATGACCACGTTGAGAGACAAACTCTATAACAAATTCATCACAAACTGTGTGGATACCAGCAACTGACAAAACCTCCAAATGCTCAAGTTTTAACAGTGATGGAAGAAGAAGCACACTGTCTATGGCTTGGCAATCATCTAAATATAACTCCTTCAGAACAGACCCCAATGACTCAGACAAGCATTTGATTCCATCAGATGAAAGCAGAGAGCACTGACTGAGATTGATGGATCTCAAAGATGGTGCAGAAGAAACAAGAGCACTTAGCCCAGTGTCTGATAAACGACAAGCACCCTTCACAGATAGAGTGGTTAGAGCAGACAGAGTATTTGGCAAGCGAGCTAATGTAGCTAAAAGTGTGAAGTCTGGCAAACAGCGACCACATTGATCGAGTTGTAGCACCTGATTACAATGAGAGAAAGTATTTAGACCGATCAAATGACTACACAAGCAAATGTGGAAAGTGTACTTTTCACTTATGGTGTTGAGCTATACACATATATTGTCACAATCAACTGAACCAAGAGCAGCTAAAGTCATAAATCAAAACTTGGAAAGGAGAGAGGAGGAAAGGGGGCTCAAATTTACATATACTAAACACACACAAACACAGATTAAGTGGTGACTAGGCAACACCTAGGCGTCGATTTGCATGACCAGGCGCTTAGTTTTCCCTGGGGCAACTGAGAAGTCGTGTTGATGAAACCACCCATAAGACTAGTCGTGGACTAGGCAACGACCTAACAAGACTGAACAAGATCGTACATTTGAAGTTAAATGACAACTTATCAAATATTCAAATGTATTTACTGTTCATGTTTTATTAGTTAAATGGGAAAGAATATTTCAACTATTGATACAACCTCTCGATTTCTTTATTGAAATTATACATAGCCTGACTTTATGTACACCACTTAAAAAAATACATGTCTACATGTACTAAAAGTGTAATAAGTATAGACATTGTCCTAAAGTAACGATTAGTTAATCTAAAGTACCCAAAGATATAACCAATAAAAATTTAAAGAGCTAAAAATCATTTTATACTAAATACATCAGAATACTAGATAAAAGTCACAAGATGTTCATAAGCAATAACATAGTAAACAAATAAATTCAATGGCATGAGAAGCACAAAAGTGCTCATAGAGTTACACGTGAAGTTAAACGTACTTATTCAACTGGTAGCTACACAAAACAGTTTGCTATTCTCGGAATTTAGTCACTGTTCTGGTTTTATTTCCTAAATGGTAAACAATATTTTAAATTTCAACAACGCTTCTAAAATGAAACTACACTGAAATATCCTCACAATGAAGTATTATTTGCATTAGATATAGCTCAAATAAATAAGCAAAGATTACAAATAAATCGATATGATATGTCATCTAGCAGCATTTAAAAGATTATTATAGAACAGAACTTGTTACATTTGAAATAAGCCCTCAGGATATGGCAATTGCTTTAGGGAGGAGTCCAAATAAGAAACTTATGAGCATTAAAATTGGGCTATATCATCAAACGTCATGAACTCTGCAAGCTGCCAAGCTATGAACTTGAACAACTTAGAACTTGTTTAACCAATGTTAGAGCTTGAGACAACACTTACTCCAATCTGCTAATTGGGTTCATGATAAAGGCAAAAAAAAGAAAATTAGAGCTTTTTCTTCCCCAAAAAAAAATTCCAAATCAGTGTATTTGGTAACCTTCTTTAATTATTGCAGATTATCTTCTTTAATTTATTTCTTAATTTGGACTATAAAGTACAGTCAGTTAACAATCACACACACCATGTGATTTTGTTTTCCAAAAAAAAAAAATTGACATCAATATCGTTAAAATAAAACATCGATTTTTCTATAATTTCAAAGTACAAATATATCTATGCATACCGATACCGATATTTTCAACAAGGAAATAAAAATTTATCTAAAATAGGCATTACTCCATAATTCTATATTGTTACTACTCCCTCCATCTAGAAATTAACTTCCCACTTTCCTTTTTGGACTGTCCAGAAATGAACTTCTCACTTCCTTAGTTTGTTTAGTTTTTAAAATAAAGTGGCTTAAATGCCCTCCTCACCAAATTCCTCTACCTTCATCGTCTCGCTACCCAATCTCCCTTACTTCTCATTTCAACCCTAATTTCATCTTTCTCATCTCTTTAAACTCAACTCGATTTCTCTGCGCTACAACACCCATTGTCTCCATCTCGTATTTGGCTGCACCTTGTCTTTCTCTTCTTTTAGATCACATTGGATATACATCTCATCTCTCTCAACTCCACTTATCACTGATGGGATCCATGCGACAGTTGCGACAACGCCGGCTAGTGGCGACGAGAGACCAACAATCATCAGTGCTTCTAATCTCTCCTCTACCACAATGGACCAGAAAGGTTCTGGTTCCTGATTGTTCCGGCATAGGTTCTATTTTCAACTAACTTTTGTCATAAGTGGTCCCTCAAAAACCACCATTCAACTTCTAACTCACACGTGGCAATTGAAAAATTATTCTAAATCCTTAACGAAAAGTGTGGACGCAGAGAAAAGAAAAAACACCGAAGCATAAAACATAATCTGTAACAGTTTAGACACAAGATACAAAAAAATCAACTAAAACAGGGAGAAAACAACAAAACACAAATGGCGGCAATACCAAGACTTCTAATATGAAGTTATATAGCACATACTAGAGTACTAGATATAGTTGCATGTTGGGGAAGAAACACAACAATTGGCATGGAAAGCATCCGGTAGTATTTTACGAGTATGTTTTAGTCGATTCACCAAAATACTGAATGATGAACTCATAAATAGAGCATTACTCATATGCCACAAAAGAGTTATGTACAGTTGATAAGAAGATAATCTGAGATCGAGAAAAGGCGGGATCTAACCGTTAAGTTGCTGGTTTGACACCCTTCAAAGAATTTTATGAAATCTTCCTCAGTTAACCACGAACAATCCCTGAGACGTATCTCAGTTGGGAACCCACAGGTAAGAAGTCCAAGAAAGTGATTATTCATTTTCCTTGAATCACATAATATATGGCAGAGCTTGTGTTTAATCACATCAGGAATGCAATCAAGTGAAGTAACTGCATCTGCATTTTTTACCAGGATAGCCATGCACAGATCTTGCAATGAGGGAGCTATCATCCCCCTCTGATTGGAGTGCAGACCACTTTTTGGAGACCATTTCAATGCTTCAGCCTTACTTTTTGTGGTAGACCCCTTCTGTGTCACTATGTTCTTAACCTTTTCACGATCTTGGATAATTTTCATAGCCGTAGAAAATGGCCCGGGCCAATCTTCAACATCTTCCATTGGCTGACTTTCACTTACAGCCATATCAATGCCAACATTCTCTTCCTCCCGAGAAGAAAACAGAGCAAAGCGTGATGCACTTTGTTTAGCTAATTCCTTGAATTGTTGTTTCCTGAGATTCCATATTGGATGGGTGACATTCATATTAGACCCCCATTCTTGTACTCCATGTGTTTCTTTGCACTCTACAGTGTGGCTTGTTTCCACATTTAATAAAGAATCCATAGACAAATTGTTACTAGTCATAGCTCCTTTACCTTTTTCCTCTCTACTAAGCCTCCTCATAGAATTAACACCAGCAATGTCACTAGTTTCATTGGTAGATGGATAAACTTCAAATTTCGCAGAAGTTGATGGAATTAACCATGGTCTATGAGTAACCTTTCCCTTACCTTTCTCTACTATAGTTAACCTCTCACTCTTCAAATTTCCGTTCCCATCTCTGCTAGCATTTAATACTGAAGTTTCCAACACATCAGCCACAGAACTCTCGTCATTACGCACTCCCTCACTCTCCTTTCCAGGAAACAACTTATGATCACCATCAACTCCTCCAGAAAAAGAAACATTCTCTACTTTGATTTCTCCCTCCACAGTCTTTCTCCTCGTGCGTAAACTAAGGCGCCTCTTTTCTGTGTCACCCTGTCTTTGTGCTCCATAGCCCACTGTGTCCACCTCCATGTGCTGACTTTTCAACAAAGTTTCCTCGTTTTCAATACCATCACCACTCAAAGAGCTTCCTAAATCATGTCCTCTACTAGCGCTGATAATATCAGCATTAACATTACTTCCTTCTTGAATACAATTTCCAGTAACTCCTCCAATTCCACTAGAACCAGATTTGGAAGCCAATCTAAGACTACGCCTTCGCACAACACTTGGTGGTGCTGAACGTTTTCTGGATGAGGAAGAGCCTTCATGAGGGGTACAAGAAGTATCTACAGGCAAATCGCTCGGTCTATCAACGGATTTAGTTGGAGTCGAGGGATCCACTACCTCTGTTTTTAGTTTCTTCTGCAAGACAGGCGACTTCACTGTAGAAACCACTTTTCGAGATCGCAAAACCGTCATCTATAAAGCATTATAACTAGATCAATCATCAATTAGCAAAATAGCAAGAATATTCAAATAACACTATACATACACTAGGATATAAGAACAATTGGAATAATAAATATAATAAAAGTGCATAATCCGTGGGAAATGCATAAATGAATGATGATATGCATATGAGCACAATTCAATAAATTCACAGAGAAGTTCAGAGATTGAACTGCACTAAAATTAATCAAGCGAAATGTCAGAGAGAGAGTTAGAGTAAAAGACCGTCAATTGAGAGGAACTGGAGTGCAATAGCAAGCAAAGTGCAGCGAGGTATATTCCGGTTAGATTGACGGGAATATCCCGGTCGAATTGCAGCGGTTAACGGCGGCAACGGAGCGGTTGCGCCAAAGCCAGACGGTTCACTCTTCACAGGGTTTGCATAGAAGGGCGTGTTTGGGAGAAGCTTTCTAGACACGCCTGCCACAACTTATGCGGAGATTGTTACGCTTTCCCGCCAAAATAATGGGCCACGTTATTTAGGCCTTCAGTCTAGTCTGGCCCAATATTTCTATACGGCCTATTGAATCCAGAGTCCATCGTTTAGTTCCTTCCAGTTTTTTCCAATTTCTTCCATAGGAAGGGTGCGTGATGGCCACCTTCTTCACCCGACGACCGGCCTTTTTCTTTTCCTTCCCCTTAGACCGGTTGTCTTGGGGCTCATCTTCATCAAGGATTTCCACGGTCTCTGGATTGACCGGGAAGGTCCTGGCAGGATTGGCTTAGGAGCCCCCTGTCTCCCCGGCTGGTTGGTCGTCAGGGATGACGAACTCCTCAAACTCCATATCTACAAGAGAAGCTAAAATCGTTAAGTACAAGGAGAGACACCGGTCAACTACGAATCACAAGAAAAATGAGAAATACCTGGGTGGTTCTGGCCCTCAGCCTCTGCAGTGTTGCCCGGGGAGGGTACCCCGTGCCCCGCTGCTTCCTGGGCCTGGGAGGTACCCTCACCACCCGACTCTACCCTCCAAACCCAGCTACCTTGATGGAAGATCCTCCCGGTTAGAGGATCCCCACGCATGAGGACCTCGAGATTCCCTTCCAAGTCTCGGGAGGAAGCCGGTGCAGTGTACTCTTGGTCGAGTAGATGGTCGTTCCAGTTCAGACCGGCCAAATGAGTGATAAAGGGGGGAAACTCGATGAAAACAAATTTTTCCTTCCATCCCCGGTTACTTTGGGGGGACTTCGGAAATGAATTTCCTACCGGTGCGGGCTTTGAAGAATACAAAACCTTCGCAGCCAGTCCCGCCCGGTAGGACTTCGAAGCAAAAAGGAAAAGACGCAATTTTGGGCCAGTTGGGTTCGTACAGGAGGGGGCGAAGGGGAAAAAACTATGCCCGCGTCCAGGGAAATGGTGTGGAACCCTATCCTGTCCTCCCGGTGGGGTTCGACAATGTTGGGCCAGTTGGGTTCGTACAGGAGGGTATACCCGTCCGGGAGCCTCCTACGAATTTTGTTCAGGGCGATTTTGGATACACGGGAAGGGATGTCAAGGACGTAGAAGGTGGGAAGCGGAAAGTAACCGGCAGCATGAAGCCGCTCCTCCCACGCATCTCGGGCTTCGTGTTCAGGGTCATAGGGGCCCGGTGCATCATCGACCGGGTCATCCCTCCCCACGAAAGTTTCACCGGGCATCTGATTAACAGGATGCGGGTCGGGAATAGAGGAGTTGGGAACCTGACCGGGCGTGGAGTCAGGAGAGGAAGACCCGGTCGAGGAGGAGGAGTTGGAGTCCTCAGAGGAGCGGTCCTCTGAGGACGAAATCCTATCGCTAAAAGAAGACATGACCGGGAAAGAAAAGTAGAGAAGCAGGGGGAAACTTACTTGACTCGGAGGGCTGAATAGCGAAAGAGAAGAAATTTGACCGGTGAAAGCTCTGAGACTTGATCGCGGAAAGTGAACAAAGGAGAGGGGTGGAGGCCTTTATATAAGCGAGGAAGAACTGAGTGAGGGCGACGTGGCTTCCTCTGGGCACGCCGCGTCAGGCGGCGCCATCATGACACCTGGGGAAGGCGAACGGACGCAGAGGAGGCGCGTCCAGCGTGCGGCACGTGTCCAGCGGATACTTTTCAAATTCAAAATTTGAAATATTCTAGCGGGAAACGGACAGAAATTCAAAATTTGAACCCATTTTCAAGATTTTTAACTTCCCGCTCATGACAAATTGCATGACCGAGAAGTGGAGGGCTTATTGATGGGTGTATTCCACCCACGACCGGTCAAAGGAAGAGACCAATTAGTTGACCGGTCAATCTCGAAAGTTTTGGAAGGGAGACTTGAATCGTCAGCAAAACGATGTATCATCGGCCAAAAGATGACCGGTATACTTCACAAAAAAGTATGCCGGTCAAACTACGTTATCGTCCTATTTATTCCAGACTTCGATGAATTCATCCCTCGGAGATTACCCGGTGTAGTGTCNTCTACGAGGGCTTGGCGTGTAGCGACCCATGTCAGTAGAGGACAACTGGAGATGCTGAAGAATCCATCCAAGGCACTACTCGACAGAGGGAATAATCCCCCTCACAAGGCGACAAGGCAGCTCAAGGACGAAACCAGTCATCTCGCACCACATCAGCATCGAGCCCCCACGTGGGCGCACGTGGTCCTGTCCCCCTAGCCTAGTATAAATACTCATGTAAACCTCAGAAAAAAGGATCCGAATTCATTCCCTCTAAACTCCCTTGTAAAAGGCACCCGTGCATTCTCCGTTATAATATAAATTGGGCTACAGGTGTTCCACCTAAAGTCCTACCGGTCAATCTGCGTGTTTTTACCTTTCTTACTTTGCCAAATCAAGCGAACTATTCTAGACCCGGTCTAGTATAGTTTGACCGGTCAAGTAATTTACACCATCAATCCCGATTACTGAAACATGCAGTTTTGTTGTTAATTACGGAGTATAAGCTTCTCGATAAAATCAGCACTCTTCACGTTCAACTTTTACCTTATTCAGGCATGGGATCTTCAACCAGATCTTCAGTGCTTCAATTGCGTCTTCATTCCATGAATAACCAGAAGCGACTATCGTAGGATCCCTTCAAGAATTCGGCTTCACGTTCTGACGGTTCATCTGATGGTTCTTCTTTCTCAATCAGGTACGTTCCAAATTTATTTTTTGATTCATAAATTACATAGTATAATATATTGAATTATCCGATTTGATTCTTTCTATAATTTATTACATATAGGGTTTATTTTTGTTGGTCAATTTGTATGTAGTTAAAGTGGTTTGTATATGATGTTCATCTTTATGTTTTATGATTCCACCTTTTAATCCTCCGCTATAGTACTATAGTGCATCCTTACATGTAGGTCCTGCATTTTGTTCTGAGTTGCTAGTATTAGATCTTAGTTCCATTTCTTCTTTTTTTAAACACATTATTCCACATTCAATTAAAACATTGTTGTATCATCCCTTTTTATTCTTTTACTCTTGTATTAATACACAGACCCTATGATTTTTCTCACATTTTCATTGTTATATTATCCCTTTCTATTCTTTTACTCCGGTACTAATGTCATTGTAATGCACTGTGTGTATATGACCTCTTTAAGCAGGTGCTAGCCGGGATGTTTTAGTATCTGATTTGAGAATCCCCACAATATGCATTTCGCATTATCATTAGTGCATCGTAGAGAATTTGTAATGCATACTCTGTAGACTGCAAACGAATTTGTAAATCATGATATATATTACACTGAATTATAAGAATACTCTAGTGCATATTTTGTGAACTGAATTATTTGACTCTCGGGCTAAGTTTGCATTTAAAAACAAAGTAAACAATATTTTAGTTTTATGTCTTTGATTTCTAGTTTGTTCCTACATCAATGTGTACAATAATTGTTTTCTACTTGGATAGAGAGGAAGTGATGTGCGAGTGTATGAAATTAAGTGTTGATTGCAATGATTGGATGACTTTGAACATCGAACACTATATCTCAAGACTTATCATAGATGCATGGTCTACAATCTGGAATAGTGAGGAGAAGTTTCAAAACACTACTTCCACTTATACTCTTTGTTATATCTCTTGTGTATCTAACAACACAAGTTTTAAATGTTTTCTAAAAGTGTAATCGTCAATTTACGAGTGATAGTGTATCTTTGATCTTTTATGATTCATGATATTTTTTGGGTTCTTTTTGTTATTGTATTTATTTTTGTTGTGTTTCATTCCTTAATCGGTATGTTCAGTTTTTATAATTTGAATCAAATGTTCTTTTTTGTAGAATCCACAATCCACCAATATTATGTCTTGTTTACTCTTAAAAAATTCGTGAAAACAAATCTTGCCTGTTAGCTCAAATGGTAGAGCGGTATGCACATGCATAAACATGTGGGTTCAAATCCCTTATAGGCAAATTATAAATCGTTCCAATTTTGCAATCCCATTTTCTACTTGATCTTTATGTGTTTCTAACCCCCTTTTCCTTTTTTTTTTTCATTTTTTCCCTTTTCTAGTTTCTGAATTTTTATTTCCTTGAGCTGACAACCGCTTTTACACTTTTCTTAATTCTAATAAAGCTCAACACATACATGTCTTCCAGTTTCTAATAAGTTCTTGATTTTTATCCTTTGGTTGGAATAAGTTAGTCTCAAGGATTTTAGAAAGAAAATGACTATCCAACCCTTTGGTACATTTTCAATGTAATCATTTTTGTGAAATTACACATGCATCTTTTAGCTTTCAAAGTCCAAGTACTTCTGTACATCCACTTGTTTTTCACAATCCTCTAGAATGTTGAAAGTCACTATCTTTTTGCTAGTTAGAAAAGGCACGAAATGGGGAAGTTATTTGTAATTCCATCCAAAATAGCTACCATAACAAAGAATTCTTAATACATTTAGATTTTGGAGCATATTTAAATGCATTTAGAGTTGATTTGAATGCACTCGAAGCTGATTTTTTCTCATTAAAATATATTAATAGCACATCAAAAACCCATTACAGTATCAAATACTCCATAACACATTCCAACAAAATCCATCTCTGCTAAAATCACTTCTAGCGTACTCATACTATACAAGCTACACTTTTAATTGAAGGGAATACTACAACTACATCTAAAAAGGACATCCAATTGAAGTCAGGTAGAAAGTATTGCTTTGCTGACACTATAATTATGCGGACAAAACTCATGCAAGTTATCTTCATAAATAATTTGTAGTTTGGATGGATATACTGCCAAAGTTTTAGAATGGAACAAATTCAATATGAATAGAAGTAAACTTTAACACAGTTTAATTTTAGTGTCACATCATACCCTTATAATGATTTGCCTTTGAGGGATTCGAACCCACATCTGTATACAAATGTATACTGCTCTACCATTTGAGCTAATAGACAATTCTTTTTCCAAAAAAAATCTTTAAAAATAAAGTATGGTTTGATAAAGCATATAAATGCATCTACAATGTGGAAGCACAAATTCATGATATCTATTACTTTACACAACTTCGCATATGTAGCATAAAAAATGGCTTTCATATTGCACTTCGACCTAAATAAGATGCATTTTGCTTTTTTTATTTAAAACATGAATTATCCCAAAACTACTTGTAAAATTACATCACAATCGTACACCAATAAATTGTATTAAAATAGTGGCATAACTATTATATAAACTCAGTTTTTGTACACATAAAACTTAGTTTTTAGACAATCATATTCTAAGAAAACACATATTGGTCACCTAGAAAAGAAAAGTTGGACATTTTTTTGGATTTGGAAGATCAATGACATGAGATGCCGAAATCATTACTATGCATATTAATACCCTTACATGCCTCTTTACAAAAATCATAATGTATAATATACCATGGTTGACCACTATAATAATATTTGCACTGCTAATACAAAAGACATCTCAGTTTACACATGCTGTTCTTCATAAGCATTCTTAAATTGTGTATTTCAAAGGGCATACAATGCATGAAAGTAACTATAATAACTTAGTGCATCACTGATCTAATGGAAATTACAAACACTTTAGTTATGCTCTCATAAAATGCACTGTCACATATCAATATCGTAATGAAACCCAAAATCCTTAATTATAGTGCATCTCACATTGGAACTTAGAACCCAATAATATTCTACTGCATTAGAAATTAGTGCATTTTAAATAAGGTACTATGCATTGCATATAAATAAAAATTTATCATGACTAAGTTTATACCAATGATGATGCATTTTTTTCTGAACTGTGCACAATAAATCCCAACAAAACCACTAAGTAGTATAGGGTGTGTAAAAAAGCATACGCATAACACAACCCTAAAACTTCAAATTCAAATGCATCTCACACTGGAACTTAGAACCAAATAATATTCTTTCTGCATTAGAAATTAATGCATTTAAAATAAGGTACTATGCATTGCATATAAATAAAAATTTATCATGACTAAGTTTATGCCAATGATGATGCATTTTTTGATCTGAACTGTGCACAATAAATCATACAAACCCACTAAGTAGTATAGGGTGTGTAAAAAACCATACGCATAACACAACCCTAAAACTTCAAATTCAAAATCATCAACACAGATTAATTGATGCATTTAAAATAAGGTACTATATATATATATATATATATATATATATATATATATATATATATATATATATATATATATATATATATATATATATATAGACACACACGAAGTAATGGTTTTGTGAGCTGGGAATTACAAGTCCACAGTCAATAATATTTTTAGTCCCTTTAGATACTTTTTGACATTTCAACCACGCGTGACCCTGTTTTACTTGTACTCCCTTTCGTTTTGACTCTTGTGTCAATGTTTGCAAGATATACTCCATTTGTGCACCACTAATTCTAACTATTGGTTTCTTTTTTAATTTCTTTTCATCTCTTGCATCTGTGCGGTGGAGATTGATGGATGCGGTGGAGATTGATGGAGGGTACAAGATTTGGTGTACAGCTGGCACTTTTGTAATGTTTTCATTGAATTAATTTAAAAATAATAGATTCATTTTGAATGAATCTATTATAAATGGAGATTATAATAATGAAAGTGTTGTATTATACAGAGTATTGGATTCATGAAAAGTCATATGTAAAGAAAGATATGAGACAGAGAGAAAACACGTATGAGTGAAGTCTATATTTAATTTCATAATTCAACTCAAATTTGTTGGGGTTTTTTGTTTTTACGAAGTTTTTAAAAAATTATAAAATGAAAATTGAGTCATTTGTTTAAAATAAAGAAAAAAAATAAAGTATATATATTTTTACTTTGTCGGGAAAGTAAATAAATGAGTCATTTTTTCCAACCAATTTTAATGGAACACATTTTCCTAAAACAGTTTCATGTTTTGTAGTTTATCCATTCCTAAACAAACTTTACATGCCAAATTATTTGAGATCATTTTATGAAGTACACCGTATTTTTTAGTGGGTCCAAAATTGACAAGTTTTTATATTTTGTGACTTTAGCATTCATATACACATTATTTTTCAATGCATCAAAAAATTACATAGTATAAGGATCGAAAAGAAGGGATGGATCGCATCGTAGGGAGTACTCCGTATTATTTTGATGCTCGATAAGTACTCCATACGTTTGACAAAACAGTTCCACCTTAACTTTTGTGCATTCCACCAAACATTTATGCCCCACGCGCTTAAAATCCTCGTGAATGCACTATAGTTTTCCTTTATTGCAGGTAGAACTTGTTTTGGAAATATTTTAGACATTTTAGATATGATAGAAGCTGTCGCATAAATGGTTGGGGTATATGTTTGCCCTTCACTTTAGTACTCATCCGTTTCAAAATAAGAGTTTCCATTCTGACTTTTTACCAAATTTAAGAAGAATATTTCTATACTTAACTTTGAAAAAATAATCTAATGAGCCATTCAGGACATTCAAATGGTTGTGAAGGATAAAATCCACTTTGATAACAAAAAGAGACTGTTCATATTGTGTGGAGTCTGATCTCATTCAAACAACATCCCTCATTGGGGGTATCCTCTTCATCTCTTCCTCGTCTTGAACCTTAGCCATCCATTGGCTCCTCTTCGTGCCCCAATCGTCCTTGGCTGCCTCCGCCGCCGCCGTGCCACCCTCATCGCGCTCTCGCGCCATGCAACACCTCTCCACGGCACAGCTCAACACCAACACCGCCACCTCCGCCACGAACATGGCCACCATCACCGCACATTCCAACCTCACCAGCACCTTCGCCTCCCGTGGGTCCCTCTGGGATTTCAGCGTCCCGAGGGCCTGGCCCTCGCCGGCCAACAGAGTGAGCACGGCGAGGAGCTGGCCCAGGGACGAGGCGAGGATGATGGGGGTGTGGGCCCGGGGGCAAAATTGGGAGCAGAAGCCCGCGAGCGAGGAGAGCAGAGAGATGGAGGAGACGACGAGGAATGCGTAGGCTAGGGATGAGGTTGGCGGGTTTTTAATGAGGAAGATTGGGGCTATGGAGGCCGCGGAGAGGGCGAAGAGGATGAAGTTCAAGAAGGAGATGAGGAGAACCGCGAAGGAACATGATCGCGGCCGGAGGTCGGAAGCAGCCATTGATTGATTGAGTTTTCAATCTTAGAATATGAGAAGATTTAATTTCCTCTTCTTCTTTTTTTATATGTGAATTGTTGGAGATGGAAAGGAGTTGCTGATGAAGTTTATCAAGGAAGAATTTTGAAGCTTTATTGAGTGTGGAATTGACCGTTGAGGGTCACACAACGGCTAGTGTTTTTTCCATTAAGTAATTTTCGGAAACAGAATCAGAAATAAATGAGGATTTCAAATGATAGTATTTATTATTATTATTATTATTATTATTATTATTATTATTATTATTGCAACACAGTTATGGTTTTTTTTCACCCAAGACTAAATTATTAATCCAATTTGACTTTTTCAATTAAACTAGATAAATATTGGTAATCACTTAAATAAAAATTACATTGACTATGAATACCAAAATGATTTCCTTAAATATATCTTGCAAAAAAGCTTTTGAAAAACTAATTTCATTAGATTAATATGCGATCCAATTTTTATTTAATGTTAATGCTAATCGGACACTTAGATGTTCAAGGTGAAATTTGGATGAAATGCTTTCATGCTAAAAAAAATGATTAAGATGATTGAAAAATCTAAAAATATGTACATAATGTCCGCTATAACTAACGAAATTAAGATGACCAAATACCTTGTTGTTGAGTAGCACTTTTCCTAGATGAGAGGTCACGAGTTTAGACCAGCCGTGCTTCAGTAAATTGAGAAAATATGTTAAAAAATGTACAAATACAACATTGTAACAAAACCAATAATACTAAAAAAACGAAATTAAGAGACATATATAAAGATGGAAAAAAAAGGAATGTTTCTTCATTTCAATCATTTAAGCAAACAAGCAATTTAGACATTAAATTTCCTGTTCGAGCATTTTAGACTTCATTCCAACGATTTTATTTTGAGGACCCGTATTTTGAAATTCGAAGGAAAAATGACTAATCTGATTTACATAAAAAGAGTGCTACCAAATAGGTACTCAAAATAAAATTGTTGTCCTAAAATTGAATATGAAATTTTACCAAAGTGTGTTCTTGTCGGGGGTGGGGGGGGGCACAAACACTAAAGAAGATTGTGAGCTTCTCTATCAAGTAAGCCTTTACTTGAAGGTGTTTTGTTGGCAATAGCAAAAAACGATGCCAAAACAACATTCTTCAGTGGGTAAAAATGGCTTCAACTCTATCAAGTGATGCTTGCAACCGTCCAGAATTCAAGTTGAACAACGGTTCCTCAGTACCTAAACCCCTGTTTTCCAAACAAAGCGAAACAAAACAACAATTTACACATCTTAACCACTTGAACCGGGAACTTCGTTCTCTTATAACAATTCTAGAATTTAGCATGTTAGATGTTACGATACCTATCTTGTCTAGTTTATAAGAAAGTACGCCGTACAAACCCAGATGATTCATAATGTTTATATGTTTCTTGCTTTTTGTAACAACTACCGAATTCTATACACATTGATGGACATATGTCTACGTATTAACAAGATGCTATATTTTTTTCGGACCCTGAACTAGGGCCCGGGTCGAACCCGAACCCGACCAATGCTAGAAGTGCCTAATCCAAAATGAGAAGCAAACGAGGGAAAAAAATAGCGACTTGCCCGGTAATTTCTGGAAGAGCATAATCAGCTTTCCACCCGAACCGAAAATCCACACCCGGGCACAGGCCAAGCAATGTCTTATTCCGAATCCTAGACATGCCATCGCCGCCGAAGCAAGAACTAAGCCTCCATTTCCAGCCAATTGCATGAGACTGAAAGCTATGGCCAACTCCTACCTGCATCAATTAGATCCATGAAAGGTCATTTGTGCACATATGCATGTAGGCAAACAAAAGAAATTGCCGAACCTAAAGATTCAAGAACTTGGTGAGAGGGATCTTTGTTGAAAGAACTCGGACTTCATGATGCAAAGGCTCGTATATGAATTTCCATCTCCGGTCAGGAGATAAAGGCTTCAAAACCAGTTTTGGCAGAAACTCATTGCTTGGAGCATTGTAGAACTGGAAAAATTAAATTGAACCCACAAGTAAGAATCAGCAAATGGTGACCTGAATGTCACATATCCAACCAATTCAGACTAATTGGGGCATTTTAGAACTGACAAATTAACTCTTTAGGGTTTACATCTCAGAACTGAGTTCGAACCTATTCATATATGCCCTAATCACAAAACCAAATTGACTTTTCGAATCATGCTCTTCCTCGAATAAACCCTAACAAAACTATAGTCCAGTAATGGCGACGATGAAAAATGATGATGATAATAACTATAATACCTCCAGATTGAGGCCAACACGAAAGCCTTCGACTTCTTTCCTGAACTTGAAGAAAAACTCAGAAGGCATCAAATTGACACTGTAGAGATCGTCCCAGCTCGCGGGTTCTTCTCCAGTCGAACCACCCTCCTCCATCGATTCCCTTTCTACTCTGTATATCGTTTTAATATGGAAAAAAACCTGCAGAAAATGGAAAATTGGACATGTATGAGAACGGATTAGTGGAAACTGTCATGATATTAGTAAAGCTTTATGGAGCATTGAATCCAGACTTTTGGAAACGATTGCTGGGAATTTGGAGGAAAATTCAGGAGGCGGGTGCCGGGTGGTTCTCTTCTTTCTTCTTCCTCTTTTTTTTTCTCCCGAAAATCAAAAAGGAGTTTCACTTTTCTATCCACTGATGCTAATGATTGTATGACTCGTTTGTAGAAAACTTTTATATAGGGCGTGCTTGGAACGGGTTTGTTTTGTTTAGAAAGAGAAAAAGAATCAAAATATTCAAAAATATATCAAAATAGGATTTCTATGTTTTTATTTCTGAAATAGGATTTATATTACCAAACATGGTTATATTACCAAGAAAGTATAGTAATTTGCACATGTACACTGCTACATTACCACAATGCAAAGTCACATTATCACAGTGCAAAGTCTTATTCCGAAAAAAAAACATGAAAGTACTATTTTTGTACTTTTTACTATGTTTTAGTCCTATTTAGGATGATTTCTATTCAAAAAAAACACTATTTTAAAATTAATCTGCACCGTTAAAATGTTACTCCCTCCGTCCGGATTTTAAGTTCCCAGTCTACGCTTTTTTCCGTCCGAAAAAAAAGTTCTCAGTCTACGTTTTCATACTCAATCTTCCTAAATTACCCCTCCCTCATCCGTTCTCGTGATTCTCGGCCTGCCGTCCCACACAGCACCACACAGGTATTTTCTCTCTCTTCCCTCCCCTTTTCCTCTTCCTTTCCCGTCTCCTTTCTCTGTCTTCCTCTTCCTTCCTCCTTCCAATCTTTCTCTCTCTCTTCCTATCCCCTTCCTTTTCTTCTCCTCGTCATCTTCTTCCTCATCTTCCTTCTTCTTCTTTCCATTATTTTCTTGCTAGATCTAGCCTTCTTTTTTTCATTTTCTTCTTCTATTAGAGTTGGATCTCGTTTTTTTTTCAGATCTAAAAATTTAGAGATTCATTTGTGCGGGGTTGCGGGCGATGGTGTCGGCGGTGGCGAGTGGAGCTGACGGCAGTGGCGATTTGCACCTCCACATCTGTTTCCTCGGAAAGCT